GTGCAGGGAGGGGTGCAGAGTGCGGGAGGGGGCTCAGGATGGGGGTTGGGGTGCTGGAGGGGACTCAGGGAAGGGGGTTGGGGTGCAGAGTGTGGGAGGGGGCTCAGGGCAGAGGGTTGGGGTGCAGGAGGGGTGCGGCAGGGGATTCAGGGAAGGGGGATGGGGTGCAGAGTGTGGGAGGGGGCTCAGGGCAGGGATTGGGGTGCGGGGTGTAGGAGGGGTTTGGCGTGTGGCCTCTGGCCTGCCACTGCTTACCTTGAGTGGCTCAGGGGTGGCACCCGCTCCCAGAAGCGGCCGACACCACGTCCCTGTGGCCAATGGGAGCTGCGGGGGGCGGTGCCTGCAGGCGAGGGCGCAGCGCGCGGAGCCCTCTCCCCGCCCCCTTACCCCAGGGGCCGCAGGGACGTGGTGCCAGCCACTTCTGGGAGCAGCGCAGGGCCAGGGCAGGCAGGGAGCCTGCCTTAGTCCCGCTAGGCCATGGGGCTGGCAATCCTGCGGGCCGTAGTTTGACCTCCCCTGTCCTATAGCCTTATAGCTCATGCCACCATGTCAAAACTAACATCCTTGGGGAGAACAGAACTGAAACCAAGTTATTTCCCAGGGGTGGAGTTTGACAGGTCTAGGAAAGTTGAGAGGAAATTGGAGAGAGTGAAATCTTATCCATTTGTGCTGGATGTTGCGCAGACCTGTAATAGGGGGGTCGTGGCAACAAAGAGCCTATCTTCTAAAGAAGGACAAGATCAAAAGCCCAAGGGAGAGGAGGGGGAAGATATGGTTAACCATTTTGAGAAGACAGGGTTGCATAGATTAGCGATTGTGTGTTATTTGAAGGCTTATCCTGTTATCAAGAAGCCTGTTTCAGAAGGCACTCGTGGAGGAGGGGGAAACATAAGCTCTAAACCTAGAGGGAGAGAACTAGAATATCACTTCCACTCCCTTTAGCACATCCGGGAAAACACAAGGTATGCTGCCCAGCCGCTATGAGCAGAGGTTAGCAGCTCTTGGGCAGTTTCTTTTGCAAATAATAACGTTGCCCGTCAGCAAGGGCCAGCTGAGGTTCCTTAAAGAGAAACACGCTGCCACTGCGCGGGTTGAAAATCAGCGTTAGCAGCAGGATTCCTCCTGGTGGGTTGCTGAGGAGCAGAGAACGGCTTTCGTTTACTCCCTTTGCCGCCCCTTAAATTGAGACTGAGTGCCCTCCCCAACATGCCCCATGGCAGGGGCTGCAAACATGAGTTTGTTCTGTGAGAAGAGGAACTCCAGCATCCACCCCGCCCTGTGACAATGGAACAAAGATATCTAATTTGTTTCCCCCTTAAAAATGCAAAGCACAAAGAGCCATTGTGTGGTCTTGTTTCAGGCACTCTGCCTCTGCAGTATGAAGCTGCTAATGAAACTAATGGTGTGTGAATTGGATGAATTATTTGATGATTTAAGTCGGTTCTGGCCAGATACCAAGGATCTACCATCCAAAAAAATAAAAAGAAACACCAGCCAAACATCTACTCCGCTGAAAATAGGCCTCAGACTGGAAGGCAGCACTATGGCACATCACACAAACAGGAATACTTAGTCCCTTTGGGCACTGTTTGTGTGTGATAAGCAGGACTGACCTGGCCCAACCGGGGGGCTGGGGTGGGAGGATCTTGGCAACTTCCTAGGAGCTATGGGACCACTTGCATAAGAGGGACAATACTGCAGGTCTCCTCGTCTTTCATATGGAGACTACAGGCCCTAACATGTAAGGATCCTTCTTGATCTGGGCAGCCTTCCTTGTGGATGGAGGCAGACCATTGCATGCTAGAAGTTGTAATCTGCGTGGGTTGAACCTTTGCATTTATAGATGAGAGCTACTGCAGGCTGGATTGCAGAATACCATGGACTTCACTGTAGATACGGAGTGTCTTATAGACTTGCCGTAGTTAGACAGCTCTCTGGTGAGACCACCAGAAAACCAACCCCAATTTCTCTTTCTTCTATCCCCTGGGATTGAAGTGGACGTTCCCCTCTTTATATTAGAGGTTCCTGCAGTTCTTTAGAACCAAGAGTTCACCACTTTCTAAAGGGCAGCCTTTGGTCTTACTTTGGTAACTGGTCCCTATTTAGAGAACACGTTGCTCTGAGGAATTATGGGCAGCCTGTCCTCTGGTCACAATGGCGGGGGAGTTTTGCATTTTTAAATTAAAACCCAAGATTGTGCAGACAAAACGTGTTGGCTCAGTGTTCAACAAAAGCCGTGAAGAAGGCACGGGGCCAAGATGTTTGTGCAAGGAACTGCAGGTTTATTTTTATGATTCTGAGGGATTTAATGTGTTGGAAGACTTTTCCTTATGTAACAAGTTCCTGAATGGAAAAAACATAAAGAGCACTGGGAGAATTGTGGAGCCATTCGCTTCTAACCTGTAGGTTACCGCTTTGAATTTGGCCCAGGCCAGTAGTGGTAGAAGATAATTAATAGCTATGGACTGGTACCACTCTGCCTTTTGTGGAACAGGTAGATTGTCCCTGGGGACAGGAGTCCCCACCAAAAAAGCATTGACAATTGGAACGAGTTGGACTGACACCAGGACGGTCTTGGCCAAGAAGCCAATGAATGAACTGGGTTACTGGGTTATAGCCTTGAACTATCCTTAGCTCCTAGAGTTGGTCCCTCGAAGTCAGGGTTGAGGAACATTGATGGGGCACTCTGGGTGGGGTATGGGAATCTTTCAGTGCCATGTTGTATCCGTTCCGTGAGGCTAAAGAAGATCTTCCGTCTCCAGGGCTCTGAATTCTCAGCACCTTTCAACAGTAGTAAAATTTCACTTAAATCAAAAGCTAAAACCCATCTCGATCTTGATTTTTTTTTTTGCTGATGCTAATGCGGTGATCTGGGTTAGATTCACAGGATTTCTAATCTTGTCATGCAGTGTCCCTTTAACCGGCCGTAATTCTAAAGTCCTCTTTTGCTGTCGATAAGATTGTGTCAGATGGCTTCAACATCAGCTTTCTTTACAACGCAATCAAATGTGTGGTTTATTTTTTGCATCTGCTGTGTTGAGCCCCTGTTACTTTGCAAAATACACTATAGAGATTTGGTCTTGAATGGGCAGTTTCTTAGACACTCTGCTTTTG